ATCTTTGTTGTTGTTATATGTGCCATTATAGATTAGCTCTAATTGAGAATATCATAAGGTGAAAAATATCTATCCTAAAAGATGGTGATAGTTCATTGTAATTTGGGAGTCAAACTCGGTTTTATTCTTTCAATCCAATTACTATAGTCTTCTAAATTGCTTATTATATGAACAAACTAGAATAAATGTGTCGTTAAATAAACAATCATAAACTTTTCAAGCCTGGCCCACCTTATGCTTTGTTTTATGTATCTAATATTAATTTACTGATAGTGTAATTGAGGGAAGTTTTATTCATTTGACCTAATATTGTTTCTATCATTAAATAAATAACCCATAGAGTAGGCTTTAAAAAGTAATTAATTTATATGTATTCGGGTTATACTACAAGTAGAAGCTTAGAGAAATGTGGATCATCAGGCATAAAGGCTTACCTGGAAAGGAAGAGGGTGATCTAGCAGCGAAATTTCCCACATACGTTTCTTACATCAGATTAACATGATAAAATTTCTCATTAATAACACAAAGAAGCAAAACTGCCAAGTTTTTCAACATCATCACCAAATCAAATTCCTGTTTTCACTGCTGAAAATCGAACACATTTTCATGTCCCACAAACACCTACTGTCAGATAGTCCCGAAAACCCTGCGGCTTCTGTAGTCGCATATTTTCCTTTCCATCGTTTGGATATCGACTACATTGATTTTTTTATACAGCAAAAAAAAAATTTAATTGTATATATATGTATATATTATTATCATTGCATAAATCTGTTAGTGTCATTATTAACTTATTACCAAACTGTCATTTGATAATAAGCTGCGAATACACAAATCTGCACTTAATTTATTATACTTGATTTAGGAGTTTCTTCTTAATTTCAAGGACGAAATATCTTGAATTATAAAGAACTTCATTCATCGCACATATATGCACCCAAAACTAATGGTTACACACCTAATGTCCCCTCCCAAAATTTTTACAAGGCTGACAAGAAAAACCTCGAGAGATGTCTTAGAAATGAATATCTAGGTCACACATTTATATTTTAAATGGATATATCACTGAAAAAAGTCCATAAACACCTTTTATTTAGATCGTAGTAAATATTATTATTCATACTTGACAAATTGTAACAAAATAAATGGATTCAAAAGAAAAAAAATCTCATGACTCGAATTCCATTGTATATTGTATATTATATATATTAATAGAAATTTCATATTATTTATTTATTGCGAATACGTATTAATACTTGAGCTAAACCTTGAGCACGTAGAGCATTGGAATCCTTAATAAGTCTGTAAGTTTCTTCGACACTCTTAATAGTACGGCTCTGTAAAAGATAGAGTATTATTTATATGACTCCACATAAAGCCACAGACTAAAAGGAAAATGGTTCAAAATATACTTACTATTAACTTAGCATCTAAATGGCTTTCCAGTTTAACTGCAAGGAGCCACAGATTGATAGCAAGTTGAAAAGTCTTTTCTTTACTTAGATCAGCAAAGCGTATTATACGTAAAAAAAGTTCCAAAGCTAATGTTGCTTGAGTTCGGAATTGCTGAGCAGCACCGAGCGACTTTAAGTTATTTAATATATATTCCACAACTTGCGAGCACATAATATTCACTTCATTTACGAATTTTGGATCATTTCCGTAGAGCTCATCATTGGAAATAACTGTAATTAAAGAATAGCTTTAGTTATTTTATATTCATATTTTTTAATAATAACTATTACTGATAAAAGTTATCAATTAAAAAAGCTTCTAAATGAAAAAAATGTCTGTACTTTTACTATATTTTTCCTGAACAGTTTGGACCACAAAACTCCAAAATCTCAATGATTTTAAGATATCAGTGATTTTTTTAAAGATAGCTTTGAATATTAGAATATTATATCTCGAGTTAAAGATGTTCGATTAGATCGCACAAGACTCCAAATTAAAAATTAAACAAGGAATTATTGGAGAAAATCTACGGATAAATACTAGAGCCTTAAGTAATTGAATGAATGCGTTAATATTTCAATTTTATCCTGTTTTGAATTTTCCTCAATCAATAGAATTAACAAAGTATGTTATACTAAGTTTTGACATATTTGAAATTAATTTTACCAAGATAATACAAAACAGAGTAAAACTGACATATGGGTAATTTCACTTAATTTATCCGCAAATTTTTATCAATCTTCATGTAAACAATAAGAATTTGGATAAAATCCTACATTATCTATTTTTGCATTCCGATTGAGCCAATTTTTGATTATTATTTTAGCTCAAAAAATTGACTTTTCTCATAAACTTTACCACATAGTACTTAAAATATTGAACCGATTGGAAGACAATGTCAGAAGCGATTATTGGGGAGATTTCTTCAATGTTGGACCAATTTTCTAACTTCAAAGCTACGTCCAAAACTTTTCAAAATTCATATTTTGAAAACCAGTCAATAACGAAATTTCCTAAAGTAAATTTTAATTTAAATTTTATTAAAAACAGCGTAATTCAACACAAAGTGCAATTTCAAGCCTATAAAGTTAAAATGTTGTCTTTATTATTATCTTTATTATTAGAAAGCTTATGATCCCTTTCTTACAGGAATCATGATTAAGCCTATTCTAATCGTGTAATCTCCAATGTTTTTAGGATTAATATCTGTTAACCGTTTTGGTTTTATTGAACGACTTAAATAATAATTGCATGGGCGATTGGAAAGTACGAAGTCGTTTGATATAATAATATATGTAATATATTAAAAATTAACATAGTCTAACTTAAAAGATTAGTTGCAATAGGAAATAATGTGGAAAAATTATATTAATAAATATGCATCTGTTTCAATTATTACATCGCAGAGATTGCTAGATTTTTTCTAGACCAACTTCTTACGTAACGTTTAATGTTAAAAGTATAAATCAGAATGACAAATAAATAATTAATTAAAATCATATTTTTGTTCCTAAAAAAGTTAGTTGTGATGTTTTTCTAACTTACAGAACAGATAAAAGATCTGCAGTTCCTTTCTTACGTAATTAAGGTATGACACACGCTTTAGCACGTTGCCACGTCTAGAGCATTGTATAAAATTAATATAGTAGAATATTTGGTCTAGATTGCTAAGAGAATAAAATTATACTGATCAAATGAGCGAGATGTGAAATACTGAATATAAAGCAGACGACTCTACAGTTAAATTGGTCTAGAAATATAAGGCTCAGTTGTTCTTACTAAGAAATCCAAGAAACCCAAAACCAATTTTGTGTCTTGTATTCTAATGTGTATGTTTTTATAAAGAGAAATATTAAAAAGGATCATCCTATTAATATTATCCTAGTAATATGTGCTGATGTATTTTTATACTTTTTCACGTCATTATGCTCGCACTGCAGTGCTGTTGTTTTCTCGCTCTCTCTACTAAAAAAAAGTACCGTGGTACATTGGCAGAGTTACTTTTATTATTAAAAGAAACAAATAAAAAAAATAATGAAAATAATGGGTCGCTAATATCTCAATTTAGCTGATGCTAAAGGAAAAGAATGTCGTCGTTTACAAAGACTAAAATCAAATGCAAAACGTAAAGATCATATTCATTTTTATAAACGTATCGAAAATTTAAGTTTGGAGACAATTGAAAACAATAGAAATCAAAAACGTGTTGAAGAAATTTTTTAGAGGAGCGAATTCAAGAAAAATATAAACAACAACGTGATTTATATCTAAAAAAATAAAATTAAACCTCAATGTTTAAAGTTGTACGTACATACGAATATAAGGGGGTTTGGCGACCGAAGCTCCATGGGAGCAGAGCCCCTTAGTTTTTTAAAAAAATGTACAATGTTTATGATATGTATTTCTTATTTTAGGCATACTAAATAATAGGCTAGTATTTGACCCATAGGTGGATAGTTTTTAAATATTAATGAAAGTAGTTTCGTATTGAAAACCTAATTAATTACAAAATAATAAATTAAAGCAAAAATTAATTATCAGTGAAAATTAATGATGACTTATAATAGTTACTTTAATCAATTTTGATAAAAGCCAAAATATTAATCAAATACATTTATTTTTACCATTTGGAATGTGATATGGAAATTCGTCCAAACTCTGCACATAAAGTAGATCTAATGCATGTAAATATACAGTGGTCGGTCCAGAACTTTGAAGTTCAAATGGAAATTTATTTAGTACATCTAATAGTAAGCGAAAAAGGTATAGAACACCTTGTTCTGGACTATCCTATAAAAAAAAAACTATGAGAATAATATAATATATGAATATTATTTTTGGAAAAACCATTATACGAAAATCTTACGGGCACAACTACTAAAGTAGCTAACATATTGCACATATATGACACCAAATATGTTTCTAGGCTCTTAACTTTGCCTTCAATTTCAACAGATCTTGGCAGTTCAGATACAAGTAGTAAAGCAGCTTCAAAACAAGCATCAGCTAGAAGTCAAAGGTCGAAATTAGATAATATTCTTATTCACAAATTACGAACCTTGTCCTAAACAGAGATTCAACAATGCAATTTGTCCACTTAATAAATATAAATCCATTTGTACATTGATTGCTGTGATACTGGGTATGGTAATGAAGCAGAAAGCAGCACAGGCTTTAACAAAAGCAGCAGTTTTCCGTGTGTGTTGTCCTTTAACGATTTGTCTAGTTTCAATTGCCAATTTGTTGACTGCATGCACTAGAGTAGAATAAACAGCGTCAAGGTTTGGAAAAGCGCCTCGAGCTTCTACATAAAAACTTAATTGTTGCTCAAAATCATGTCCAAAATTAACCTTCCGTATAAAACTACTGATCAGGTTAGCTATTTGGCGTCTTTCATCCTCTACAGTCAATGCACTAAAATAATAGGTTTTTGTTACGAATTTACTGAACAAAGAGAGTTACTTACGTTACATAGTCATTCAGTATTTTTCCAATATACATTAGTGAATTAGTTACTATAGCATCGGAAGTGTAGTCTCTACTATTGCGCTTAAAAATTGTGAGAATATTTTTGCAAACTTCAATCTTAACAGATTCTTTATGAAACAAGTCCAAGTATGGTAAGAAATGTTCCTATAAACAAAGGAAGGACGCATCGAAATTTTTGTACGTATATGTCGTTCTTTGCATACCTGTATAAGTAGCAACTCAATATCCTTATAGTTTTGCATTATTTTATCGAGTATATTCTGCAATTGTGGATAATGTTTTTCATAAGCTTTACCTATACTCATGCGTGTATTGATATTGCCCAGAAAAATATTGACCTCTGTGACCTGCAATTAAGAAAAGTCGCTTATTAATAATATTCCTTGAAGGGAATACTTAATTAAATTACGGAGAAGTTCTCAGCTACAAATTGTGCCCAAGCTTCAACACAATTTATATACTCTTTGGGATCAGTAAAGGTATTAATAGTATGAAATGAAGCATTTAAAAAAGATATACGCTGTTCCTGTAGTGGAGGACAACGACAAACACTTTTTCCCAATGCACGAAATAATAGTCCTTTTGAAGTACCATCAGTATTTGTATTACCCAAAATTTTCACAAATTCCATAGCATTTGCTGCTATATACTCCGATTTGAGCGCATTTAAGATAGACATCAAGAGTGGACCACTAAGTAAAGAAAACACAGTTTTTCACAAATCAACATTGAAAATATTAACATAGTTACTTATTTTTCGTTTCCTTGCATTTGCTCATGATATCCTCGACATAAAGATTTGTTTTGTGTATAAGTGCTTGAAGTACAAAATCCAATGCTGGTCCATACAATGACAAATATGTATTGATATCAATGCGCTGCCGATTTATTTCAGAACGTATTGAACCACTGAATATCTTTAATTGATTAAAAAATTTTTAATTTAGAAATTGGGGAAATTACAAATAGTATTAATATAGTATAAATGTGCTTACCATGTAATAAACGCTTAAAAAATTTTTAAAATTTTCATAAATATATTCTTTATTTGGAGTCACAGTTAGACCCACACGTACAAGATAACAACGTGCATATGCAGCTACCAATGGATCTCCTAAACCTCTTATAATGTTTGTAAGTCGCATGAGTATTTTTTCGTAATCACTGTAACATATACAAAATGTTTTATAAATAAGTTTTATAAATGTTTATAAATAATCAAAATAATTGTTTCACTTCTTTATTAGTCAACCTAGTAGTGGACTGAAGGATTTTAAATGACGCTAGGTCATATTTTATTCAGTGCAATGATAACAGCATCAAATCTATAACTGCAAAATGGATTTAATGTCTTAAGTTTATTTAGTAATGCAATACTTTGATTTTCCAAAGGGATCAATCAATTATCAATTTGAATACGAAACAGTATTGAATAAACATTTTTAACATTATTAGACCTTTTATGTTTTTCCAAATAGAAATAAGTACTGGGCTTCTTGTTATTTTCGTACTTATAATGACCAGTATTGAACCTAACACTGGTCCCGAAAACACCCTTTTAACATTGCATTGTACACGACCTTAGAATCTAAAGAAATCAGACACTATTTGTCGATTTCTAGTTTGGATTATTGTACAGATTGGTATGGTATAACATTTCGAGTGTTTTGCTTTAAGCTTTTTTCGTAATGTGAAATACCTTTACTGTAGCAGATTACTAGACACTATTTTATAAAACTTCTAAGAATGGCCGGCACTACGTCCCGGAGACACTCGTCAATTACGATAACAAAGTGACATTCAGCACCCTTCAAAGGGAATCAAAGGGACACAAGCAGGTCCCTGCGGGTTACAACAACACTATTCTATAATCACAACAAATGCATTTTATGCAGATCCATGTACATATATAAGGTTATGTAGCCATATTAACCAATATCGATTTTGTGCGGAAAGGTCTTAAGTTTCGGCTATATGGTTTTGGATTAAGTTCGTGTATTAAACAATTTCTTATTTTACTTTGTTGTTACGGTTACGATTAATTTGTTAAAACAAATTTTTTGTTTTTTTTTTTAGTGTAATCAGCCACTAAATCATCTTATTGCGTTACAACAATGTTATCAACTTAAATAACTTTTAATTATTGGAATTGAATAATTTACTTAAGTAATATCCTTGTACTCCATTCTTTATTAGTAGATACTCACCAGTCTGCTAAAAATTCATAACATTTAATAATGGCCATTTCCACATATAATCTTGGAATGAGTTCACGTATGGAAGCAATTTTAAAAAACCAATTCTGACAAGTCTCTCTCGCACTTTCACGCATAATCTCTGGAGTCACCTTTTTATTTCTTTAAATATTAAAATATCTAGTTAACATGTTTATACCAATGCCATATGCCCAATGTATGATTAAACTACAGTAGCTGGTTACAGTAGCAAGAAATGTAAAAATAGGTTAAATAATTACAGTATTGTAGTATTGCGTACGATGACCCGATAGTTGATGGCTTCAGAGAGTGACAGTAGTTATGTACTGCAGTCAACCAGTGTAGTTTAATCAAGCGTTGGGCATTAAAATTAAAAAGCTTACTCGCTCGTCCCTTTAGCACATTTGCCGTTTAAGCGGTCATAAACAAGTTTGCCAAATTGATCTAAAATATCTGTAATGAGGACAAACTGGCTTGGATAAAATTGCAGCACAGTTGTGTCAGCCAACATCTTTGAACATTGAATAACAATTTTTAAGGCCTTAACACGTTGGTCGCTATGCCAGGACTGCACCAGCTCTTGATTAAGTTGCTCAATGCGTTGTATATACTCCTGTTGTGTTAAATCCATCATATGACGCATAGAGCTATCTTCGAAATTATCCAACTGCTCCAAACGATATTTAACTTTATCAGCTACAACTGTTTGAGCCTTAACTAGAATGAAAGAACTTCGAATGATGATGTGTTTTTAATATAAACTGTACTGACTTGTGTCCGAACCAGCTACACCAGTTGATAGGAAACTAGTTGATATTGATAATTTTTCGGATGTGGTGAAACGATTTAATATGCCCAAACGTTTTGAACTCCAATTGAGCGCATCATCTTCCAAGATATCCTTCTCACGTTTAAGTGTTTTTTTCTGAAATGTTTCCTAAAGATATTAAGAGAAAATTAGTTCATTTTAAAATTTTGATGTTAATATCTGCTACATACATATTCTGTGGCCATTTGTGATAATGGATCCATCAATTCCTGTTCTTGTCGTACAAATTGTGACAATGGGTCGGTACCGTCTAACGCCATTGACAAGGGTTCTGCTAATAGTGAAATATTAGATGAAGCACGGCTGCTGGTGTTACTACCAAAGCTTGCTCGTTGATTGTTGCGCGTGCCTTTGCTATCAACGACCTATAGTGAAAGTAGTAATTAAAAATATAACGCTCTATATTTGCTATAAGCCCTACCATCACTGTTTGCAATTTAAGCGGATGTTCGTAAGTTTGATGGCCCTGTAATTCATTTTTGGTAATTTCATATGAACGTGGCACACATTCCCTATTAAATAATATACATTTTATTTGTGTGTTAATCACTAAATTATGAAATATAAATTAATTGATTTATTAATGTTGAATATCATTCATATTATTTTAAATCCTTTGGAGCAAAACTCTTACATGTAACTTAAATACACATAATGTATATATAAAGTAATGATCTTCAGCAAACTCTTATTAATGTGATATATTTTTTCTTACCAGTCGCTCGCCATTTTCAATATTTTTAAATATATTTAAATTCTGTTTTTTATAACTTGCACTATTTTTTTTTATTTACATTTCTTAAGTTGTTATTTCAGCTGTCATTCACCGTATATGCACCGCATGTATAGTACGTTAAAAAAGTGAAACAGCTGTTTAGGTTGCTGAATGTTATTTTTCGCCGTAATGTGAAATTTGTTGTGAGTGAATTACTACAGTAGTACAAAACTCAAAATTGTGTGTTATTTTTGAGACCAAAATTTTAGCAATTGAATCAACTGTTACGTATACATAAAAATTATTTTTAAATAATTTAAATAAATAAAAATTTGTAATATGTGAATAAATTATTGAGAAAAGTTTCAATTACAATAGAGATATTTACACTTTGCTCTGTAATCTGGTATCGGTAAAATGATAATATGACAGGTGTAAGCCAAAAAAATGTTCCTCTGTGGTTTAATACGGCATTTAACTGGCCAAAAATGGTTCATTTTGGTCAAAAATCGAAAATGAAAACCAAATGGCTCATTCTTGCATACAAAATTTCAAGGGCGAATGAGCCATTCCATCGGCGAATGAGCCATTCCAACGTCGTTGGGATGCATTCAAACAGAATGAATGCATCCCAACGACGTTCCAATGCGTTCCAAATATGTCCCAAATGCAAAGGAATACATTGAACAGAAACTCCAAACGAGACGCATAGATCTCATTTATAAGAAAAGTTTGCATTGCTGACTCTGTCGTTTGGGGTAGACTGGCCAGTGTAAATTTCAGTTATATTAGCAGTATTTCTGCTGAGTGCGAGAGAGCCTCAAACTATGAACTTAGGCTATGACCATGCATATTTAATAGAACTAGTGGATGGCAAATCCTGACTCAGTATACTTTCGAGGCCTATACCAGTTCTAGAATAACGGCTTAGAGCTATTAAGTCTGTTTATTAATCTTACTTCGCACTCATATGTGTTGCAATCTTTAATTATGTGATAGCATTATATATATATATTTTTTTTAATAATATGAGAGTAATATATATATTGAGATACAATAACATTTATTGTATCTTCTTTTACAATGAGACTAGCAATAAGTTTTAAAATCTTATCACTAATTACATAATATTACAATTTTTTATTTTAAGTAAACATTGTATAATATAAAATAAAATTAATAAACCTTATATCACGGACCTAACTTAAATCAATGGGTTAAACTTCATTGAAGTGAATGGTAGGTGGTTTAAGTAGACAATAAATCTTTGTCGGATTATTAAAAATAGAAAAATGGGATTTTTACTTAAAGCTATTGAATTTTAATTAACCGGTAGATGGTTAGCTCTTTTTAAGCAGGAAGTAATGAATAGAAGTACTAGATTCTTTTCTAAGGGGTTAACATGTTCTGTCAGCCTTTTATTGTATTTTTTTCTTATATTGTCAAATTCTGTTTTAATTAAGGGAATTTTTAGATCTCGGTGGATACTTTTATTCCTAATATACTATGGGGCACCAGTGAATGTTCGCCGTATTTTTGACTGAGCTCTTTGGATAATTTCAATAGTTTAAGCACTAGCATTACCAAATAGCTGGATACCATAAGTCCATATTGGTTTTATGATGCTGTTATACAAGAGTACTTTGTACTCCATGCACAGGGAGGATCTGTTATTAATGAGCCAGTGCAACATAGAGGCTTCAAATTATACATATGTATATGAGAAGCGTTTTCTCATATTACATATATAGGCAAATAATTAATTTAGGATCTTTTTCTCAATTTTAATCTTAGAAAGATTAGCAGACTATAATGTATTCTGTATCTAACCGTCATTTTAAGGTATTCACTTCATTATAGCTTTTTATTGATTCAGTAAACAGAAACGCTTTATTTTATAAACTCAGTAGTATTGGCATGTCCACCAAATTTATCAATGTTCTATCCAGTTTATATACCGAAAATCGTGCTGCTGTATGGGATGGGGAACACTTGTCAGAGTGGTTTGCTACTGTTTCAGGAGTTAAACAAGGTTGCGTACTCAGTCCGATTCTATTCTCAATTTATATAGACGATGTGGTTACACATCTATCTGGAGGCGCATTTATAAATGGTGTAAATATTAAAGCTCTTTTGTATGCAGACGACATCGTTCTCCTAGCAGAAAGTCCCAATTGTCTACAAATTATGATAAATGAGCTACACAGTTACTGTAAGCTATGGGGATTAACAGTTAATATTGAAAAGTCAAAAGCACTAGTATTTAAAAAGCATCACAGGCGGTATACAAATGAAGAAGTATGGACATTAGGCGGAGAAAATGTAGAAATCGGTTAGGAATACAAGTATCTTGGAACATGGATGTATTATAATGCTATATTTAATAGACACTTAACTGAAAAATTGAGAGAAGCTAAAAAAGCTATTAACTGCTCTTGGAAAAATATATTTGAAAATAAAGATATACCGTTCAAAACAAAATTTCAACTCTATGAATCTACTACTAGATCAATAATGTGCTATGCGGCTCAGGTATGGGGAGTGCTACAATATGAGGAAGTTGAAAAACTTTTACGATTTTTTGTAAAAAAAATATGGAGATTACCACTTAACACACCCAACCGAATGATTTATTTGGAGACTGGCTTGTCACCTCTGTACTTGTACACTTTAGAAATCCACTTCAAGTATATGTTAAAAGTTTGCAACATGGAAAGCTCGCGGTTACCTAAAATATTAGCTATATCTCTAATGCAGGAGAAGAGTCACTATTTTAAAACGTGGACTGAATTAGCATCGGTTCACCGTGAACCGCTGATAATCGATAACATACATTCGTGGAAGCATTGGCAGCAAAATATATTAGTAAAAATCGGTATTGCGTTTAGAGAAAAGTTCGTAGCAGAAAGTCGACAAAGCTTAACTCGTGTTTTACACAGGCAACTTAATTATGACCTAGGCAACAACAGTTACTTCGCAGATCGTTTTAGCGCTGAAGCAATTGGATGTATTTTCAAAACTCGAGGAGAACTGTTAAAGCTCAACAACGCTCCCTATATGAACTCGTCAGACCCGAGATGCACGCTGTGCAATACTGGAGAAAAGGAAGATGTAATACATTTTCTTAGTAAATGTCCAATTTTAATGGAGCTACGGGTAAATTATTTTGGAAAACAAACGTTAGATATTAACGAATTAATGAGGCTGCTAAATGGTGAAAACTGGCATATGTTATCGATCTATGTGAAAACGGCGTCTCGTTATAGAGAAAATATTATATTAGAGGCATTTTAACTCTCATAAGCTGAAGTTCGTAAAAAAACACAAATCCAAACCCGATTGACGGCAAATGCCATAATCGTATAAGGATAAAATTAGATATTATGTAAATGAAGTTAGGTTTTTCTTATTAGTTTTCTTATAATTATTTATAATATTTATGTTTTATATGTTATAAATTATTGAAAATGTTAATTTTGTAAATGTAAATATAACCTAAATTTAATAAAAGAAATACTACTACTACTACTTATAGCTTTTTACTAATTATGACTTCAAGTTACTTAAATTTGTTGGATAGTGGTGTTAAGAGGAAAACTGGTCTGCACCTTTACACCATCTCGATATTAAAAGCTATTTTGAGGTAGCAGTCTACGAAAATTGTCCTTCATTTAAAATAAGAGCAATATCTAAGTAGCCCCATTTTTTCCACTTGCTAATAAAATTTTATTTATTTACTCATCTAAAAATAAAATGAAAACGTTTAGGTTTGTATTTAATGCATACATTTTTTATTTTAGTTAAATACAAAAATTTAGTAACATGTATTGTATATTGTATAAACATATTGATATACAGATATGGAGTTCTTTACACTTTTTACATATTTATGCACATTTTTTATCTTAATAAGTTGTAAGATTATTTAGGGATATTAAAGAATTAAATTTAATATTACATAAGCAAACTTTTTTATATAAAAATGACTATATTGCCTTGATGAAAATGTCAAGGAGTATTTCTAGGCTTTGCTTACATACATACATGTACAGGCATTGATACAATTACTTTCTATATATACAAATTAATTAAATTGTTAATTGGTTCTTTTATTATCATTTCGTCATTAATTTACTACAAATAAATTAATGCAATGAATTTGTTTATATTTTTGTGCATTGTTTGTTGTTCTTATATCGTTTCAGTACACTTAGAGAAAACAGCTTAAATTGATTTACATATAAAGAAATACAACGAAAATTAGAATTTGATTCAAATAGAACATTTTGTAGTTTTGTAACTTAATATTTTATAAATTCAACTCAAAATACTGAAAATTTTTAATGAAGTTCGAAATGAAGTTTTGTGTACTTTTTTTCAATAAAATATAAACATTGTCAGTCTTAAAAGTAAAGCTTAGTTAAAGTTTATTTTTAAATTTAATTATAAGAAAATTTAAATAAAGTCCAAACAGTAAATAATTTATTGATATAATAAAATTGATTGCTCCTTTAGGACTAGGATATAATTGCGATTTAAGATACTAGATTAAGGGTAATAAATACAAAATTGTTTATTTACTAGTAGTTAGTGTTATTAAAAACCGATGTGAGACTCCTCTAGTCCATGGGAAGAAAGTATGATAACAACACCAGCGAAGAGTAGAAATGAGTTAAGGTATGTTTGATAGGAGTTGTAATAGTTTGCAAAATCGTAATATGGTTTATTTTCCAGTAATGCGAATCGTTTATAATCATTTTTACATCGAGTATATAGTTTTTAAATAACCCCGAAATATTTAGTAACCAGTAATTTCTATACAATTGTTTATTATATATAAATTAAATAGTGTATAAATAATTCTGTTTTATATAGTGGTCCTGAAGCCTTATTCGACATATTTATTTTAAATTACTGTTTTAATATGATTTTAATTATCTAGTTGTTGTTATTTTATATATTAGTTGGTGTTTCTAAGATGTAAAGATATGTAGGCTAAAATTGATTCAAATTTTCATTCCCATACTCGTGCATTTATAAACAAATTAGAAAGTTTCTAGTTCATTGTTTTCATAATATTAAAAATCTTTTTAAAGGTTTTTTAAAGGTCTATATAAATATAGCCAATGTTTCGAAGTTTATTTGACTTCTTTCTCAGGACGGAGCATTGTTACAACTGATTTATTTACGGCTTATTTTCGTGCACATAACCCATTAATAACATTAATAGTATTATAATAGTAATATGTTTGAAATTACAAAAGTCAGATAC